CCTGGGGCTCGAGGACCCCCTCTTCCTGCGGCACAACCTCTACCGCAGCCCTGCCTTCGAGCCTGAGTGCCCCCTCCCGCGGAAATCCGCCTTCGCCCCCTACAACAGGCGGGTGAGCGAGGGCTCCTACCGCTTCAGCCCCGAGGCCATGTACAGCCGGGCTTACTACACCAACCTCTACAGCCCTGCCTTCAAGAAGGACTGAGCTGGCAGGGAGGATGAGAGCATCCCAGCCCCCCTCTAATCCCCCCCAGCACGCTTTGCTCGGGCCCCTGCCAGCTGCCCGCACGCACCCCTGTACCAGGACAGGAGCTCAAAGTGGTAGACGTGCCATGGGATGTCTTCTCCTTCTGGAGTGCATCAGGGCCAGGAAGGGGGAATAAAGGCAGCCAAAAGCTCTGTTGGTGGAAGGAGAGGGTAGGGGGAGAGGGGACCAGAGAGGCGAAGGAGATGCAGAAAGAGCAGTGAGACCAGAAAAGAGAAAAAGGGACCAGCCAGGCCTGGCACTGGGCCACCCTGGTCCCTGTTGAGCAGATAGCGTGGACTTAGATGGGCTACACGTTGAGAACAGCGCTGAGACAGAGCAAGGAGGACAGCACAGACATCAAACTTCACCATAGCAACCCTGGTTCCCCATCCTTCCTCCCTCCGTCCCACTTCGCAGGGCCCTTTCCTGGCCACAGATTGCTCCTTCATGGAGGAGCCGAAGGTCCCCACCCACCAGTGGGACTCATGAGTCGGAAAGCCCTGGGCACCCGCCCCCACCTGATGGTGGGATGGGTGGTGGGGTCAGGAAGAAGACTGGTGAGAACAGGTGGAGCTCCTGGAGCCCCTCTCTCCCGCAGGACCGCCTGGCTTCCCGCAACACCTTGTTGTATCCACTGCGATAATAAACCTTCCTGACCTGCTGCTCGCCCCATCTGCTTGGCTGTTTTATGGGAGCGAGCCACCAAAATGAGGGAGCAGAGCGGGGCGAGACGCCTAACCAGGGTTGAGGGAGCAGGTACGGGAAATTCATCCTCGGGTTGCTGCCGCAGGGACGGTGTGGGCTCGTGCCCAGCACAGTACGTGTCCCTTCCCATGCCCCGAGTACAAATTCACAGCCATGAGGAGCTGGGGGCTTCCTGCCAAAGCCGATTTATTGCATTTCCAGAACAGAGCAGAGCAATCACTGTCTGTACTGCACACACAAACCCAACACACTGCTTTCCCAGGCATACCAGGGGAAGGGTTTGGGGAAAGGCAGGGAAAAACCTCCTGGCAGTGAAAGGGTTCGGCAATGAGCCCGGCAACCCCTTTCCCCACCTCCCTTCCTCCCTGGGGACAGGCAGCCTTACAGAAGGAGAGGCTTGGGAAGGCACACGGTACAATTCCTCACCCTGGGAATGAGCCACATGCCTGATTTTTCCCAGGCACAGCCTGTATGGTGCTTACACAAGGGAAACCGCTACGGTCGCTGAAAGGCTGTGGGAGAGAGGGCCACGAGCACAACGGTTCAAAAGCAAGGCGGGTGTGGGATGGGGCCCCAACCGAGGTCCTCAGGGGTCAGCCGGTGCCGCAGGCTCTGGGACAGTCGGACACGGTGATGCGCACATGGGAACTGCCGGTGGGTCCCGGTGGAGAAACCCCCACGTTGCCAACTCGCGCGTGCTCCAGAGGTACCAGAGAGCACCCTGATGAGTGTTAAACAGGAGTAAGGATCCCAGGGTAGGAGATGGTGACATTTTGCTGGGTGGCCATGCAGAAGCAGTGTCCTCCCTGCTCACTGACAGCCCAGGCAGCTCTCGCTGAAGGAGCTGGGGGTGACACTGCCTGGAGCAGCGGCAAGATCACCTGGTGGTTTGCAGCATTGGAGGATGGAAGGAGAAAGCAGGAGGCACCTAAAAATCTGGTACAGCAAAGAATAGAGACTTTGCCCCACCACCTGTCCCACCACGGAGCCAAGAGCTCTACAGGAGGCAGCAGAGGAAGGCACTACAGTCCTCAGCTGCACTGGCCATGTACAGCAGGAGACCCAGACCCTGAGGTTAGGAGGGCAGCAAGGAACCCACCGTATTTATGGAAGTGCACACCGTCTCCATGGGCACTCGGGGAGGAGGCTAAGTCCAGCTGGGCAGCGCGGAGAGAGGCAACACCCAGGCTGTATCTCAGAGGGAATCCGTTCGCTTACGGGCAAACACAGCTGACATGGTCTTGACGATGCCACGGATCCCCGTACCCTTTTTCAGTGCCAGTTTGGTGTCAGGGATGCGCTTGGCCAGTCCATGGAAGACCATGAGGGCCCCATGATAAGCCTCGGCTGCAGAGACCTCGTAGAAACCACAGTCTAAAGAGAGGGCCAGGAGCCGACCCTCCTCGCTGGACACCACCCGTTGGTGGTGTAGGTCACGTTTGTTGCCCACAATGACGATGGGCACCTTCTCCTGGCTCTGTCCCTCCTTGGCCGCTTTGATGAACTGGATTTTGAGGGGCAGGATGTTGAAGCTGGCACGGTCACAGATGCTGTAGACCAGGACAAAGCTGTCTGCCCACTGGATTCGCTTCTCCTCTGAGGAGCCCTCCTCTGCCTGCTCCTGGGGAAAGAGAAAAGAAAGGTTTCTTTACCTGGCTCCCTCCTTCCACGCCTGCCTGCTAGCACAGGGCATGGCAATCCTGAGCCCATCGGGACCGGAGTGGCTAGCAAGCAGCAGCAGAAGGGGAAAGAGAAAGAGGAGTATTGAGGAAGGCAGAGCAGGACCTGGCACACCTCACCAAGGGGACATGATTTGGGCTTCAGCATCACTGTCCTCACCTCATCACCCAGCTGGAAAGCACGGCAGGCTGTAGGTGATAACAGCGTGGGGACCTCAGAGTGGCACTTCCACTTTGTCAGCACAGTCCTGTGCTCAGTCCGGGCTGATAACATTAGTGCTTCAACCCCAGCGTCCTCAGTCAGAGGACCATGGGCTACAGTGACTATTGCTACCCTGCCAGCAACGCTGCTGCCCTGTGCTCTGCAGGCAAGAAGGGTTTAGTTGTCTACAAACCATCTGAAACGAGAGTTTTGCCTATACATATGCCTATGGTTCCCCGCTGTGTAACTTTTAATAGAGGGTTTTTTTCTCCCTGGGGTGAAAACAGGCAATGGGAGAGGCGCCCTCTCACCTGGGAACTGGGGACATCCCAGATGTGGAAGAGAATCTCTCGGCCGTCCACAGTCAGGTTGTGGCTATAGATGAATTCTGCCCAAAAATAAGAACGAAAATAGTCATCTTCACAAACCCAGGAGATAGCTCCCTCAACCCATGTCTTCTCCTCCTGGGGGAAGCCTGTCATATCCACCCTGGGAGACTGTGCTCTACAAGGCAAGGTCCGAGGGCTCTTTTCGTACAGCGACAGCCACCTGGAGCATGGTGGTCTCCAGGGCTGTGACCACCCCAGCCTGCCTCCACCCCAGCATTCAATCCAGGACCTTTTGCACCCCCAAGAAGCAGTTCTGGAGCGAAGAGATGGGTCACTGAACAAATACAACCATCAAGCCCCCCGGGAGCAGGCAAAGGCTCTGGAGAAAGGCAGTAGAGGATGGGAAGCAAAGAAACCCCACGGGCAGAAGCAGGCTCGCCTCCTGATCCCAGTCCCTAACGGGAACTGGCCTGGCACTCACCCATGTCTCCATACTCCCCGATAAAGCGCCGGGTGAGGAAACGCACAGTCAGTGCTGCAGAGGAGAGAATAAGAATCATCAGAATAACCCTAAATGTGAAGGATTTTCCCTTTCAAATCCAGAGCAGAGTCAGGCACCATCCCCCTGTAAACTCCCACTAGCAGGAACAACCTCCGGTTTTGCAGCCCTCGGCTGGTCTGCAAGCAGAGCAGAGGCACAGCAAAAACCAGAGCACCAGCAAACTACAGCTCAGAAGAAAACTACCTTCCCCCATCACTCGCCCGCCGCCTGCAAGGTTGTGCTCAGCTTCCTCACCTCAAATCACGACCACACCTGAAAGCTCAGCTCCACCTCACCAGCTTGCTCCACGGAGTTCCTCTCTGCAGCTTGTTCTCCAAATGCTGCTGCAGTTTTCAGCCTTTTTTGGGGAGGAGAAATGGGTCTCCCTGCCTGGGAACTCCCTGTTCCCAGCTCACAATCGGTTCTTACCTGATTTCCCCACGTTGTCTGCTCCCATAACAAGGACGTTTGCTTCCATCTTCAGGGTGGTGGGGCCAGGCATCTCCATGAGGGCAGGGTGGTCAGGGGTGAAGCTGGCGCTCCGGCGCAGCGGGAGCCGGAGCCCCATACCGAGTGCGGCCATGCCTCGCTGGCGGTGTTTGCGACTCCTCTCGGCGCACGCGAGGAGCCCGTTTCCCACAGCACCCAGGGGACCCGCGAGGGCCATACCCCTCCCCACAGCTGCAGGGGCGGTGCAGCAGGAGCTGCAGGCGGCCAGATGAAAAACTTTGTTATCGCTCAGATTGTCCTGAACGTACGCCAGTGCCCGGAGCCAGCCCTGCCATCCCTCAGCGTGGCAGGCGGCCGGGAAGCACCGGCTGTCTGCACCAGCTGCTCCGCAAACTGCATCCCGGGAAGCTGCCCACGCCTGCACCTCAAGCATGTTGTCCCTTGGCAGGGCCACATAGCCCCTTGGCCCTTCCCCGTGGTGATGGTGGAAATGCCTATGAGGAGTGGTGGAGCATCTCATGAGCAGTGGAGCGTCTTGTGAGTGATGGAGCGCTGTCTCACAAGTGATGGAGCACCTCACGAGCAGTGGAGTGAATCACAAGTGGCACAGCATCTCACAAGCTGTGGAGCATTGTCTCATGGGTGATTGGAGTGTGTCATGAGTGGTGAAGCACGGTCTCACAAGTGGTGGAGCATCTCAAGAGCAGTGGAGTGTTGTCTCATGAGTGATGGAGCATCTCACAAGCGGTGGAGTGTTGTCTCATGAGTGACTGGAGTGCGTCACGAGTGGTGGAGCACCCCACCAGCAGTGGAGCGTCTCGTGAGTGACAGTGCGTTGTCTCACAAGTGATGGAGCATCTCACAAGTGATGGAGCGCTGTCTCACAAGCCATGGAGCATCTCATGAGCGGTGGAGTGTTGTTTCACGAGTGGTGGAGTGCATCACAAGCGCTGCAGCATCTCATGAGTGATGGAGCATTGTTTCACAAGTGATGGAGCATCTCACAAGTGGTGGAGCATTGTCTCATGAGTGGAGTGTGTCACAAGTGGTGG